AGAGAATAAAAAATACTTTTTAAAAAAAAATTATTTATAAAAGAGAATTTTCAAATAATTGATAATAAATAAGTTAGAGTTTTAAAAAAATATTTGAATTATATTAATAATTATAAGAAATATTAAAATTTTTTTAATAATAATTGAAATAAATAATAATTTTATTATTTATTATTTTTTTTTTTTTTTATAACCCAACTATATAAATTTATTTCACAAAGTTAATTCCTTTTTTCATCCAGATATCTTGAATACTTTTGATCTGATTTCTTGAAAAAGGTCTTATACTCTTTGTTATTACCTGCAACTTCAGATTTCCTTTTTGGGATTCTCTTTTTTTAAGCAAGTGCCAGATTAAAATAGCTCCAGGCTAGAGTATTCTTTATATTATGAAGTCTGTTATATTAGAGATTATGAATTTTTATTGAAGTTAAATCAGAAATCTTTTCTCGTACAACCTTTCCTGTTTTGATCTGTTTTTAGACTGCAATTGTCAGAAAAATCAAAGGTCTTATTTTTATGTAGTTTAACTAAGTTTGATCAAAATTCAAATGTTTGAATATAATATCTATAGGAAAATTGATAAACCTACAAATCAAAAATAATTTTTTGTACATTTGTTTCCTGTAGGTATTGAACTAGAAACATGTGTTTGGAAACCTAAAAGTACTATTCATTATGTTATAGATCCATAGATCTATTATTTATTATTTGTTTTTTTCTTATATATATATTTGTACTGTTTTTTTTTCTTTTTTTATTTTTTTTATATATTTTTTATAAAAAAAACTTATTTATAAATAAAATTAATATATGACTTGTGAATCCATAGCACAATGGTTAATACTCTATAGGTCAAATCACAAAATATTGGTTCAATATTATGTGAAGGTGATTAAATAGAATAAATATAATATTTGGTACCATACCAATTATGTATTGTTTCTTATAAGAAACCAATTTACATGTCAATTTGGTGGACATTAAGATTATGATCACCAGAAAAGATAATGTGATGTGATAATCGTCAAAAAAAACAAAAACAGAAAAGGTAATAAGACATTTGCTTTCAAGTAAGATGACTTGATGATTGCTTCTTTATGGTACCTGATATCTCTTCCTATTAAGATGGTTGCTTCTATAAAGTTCTATTTACTATAATAGATATTAATTCCAATTTCCCCTTTACTTCTCCTTATAATATTTCCAGTTAAGAAATAGAATATAGCATGCTAATACAAAATAAGAAATCTTGGAGGAATCGTTAATATGGATACTAATGTATAGTATAAGTGTATAGATCATATTACTATATATAGAAGTTGCACTCTTCTTGGCATTCATGCCTTTAAATTTGGTAGCTTAGATCAATTGAATTTCTTTTGAATGTCTACTAGAAGATTCATGGAATTATATTCCACTTGGTATTAAAATGCCTCTAGATTTGGTAGCTTGTATTAATCAAGGATTATAATTTTTGAAACATTTATTAGAAAGTATATAAATACATACAAACCTCATCTATAGCTGTGTAAACCAAAGATATGATTCAAACAAGATGATCTACAGAAAATTAGCATATGTTAATTAAAAAAAAATGTTCTTTATAAACCTATGTATGGACCTACTCATATGGTATAAGTTGATATTTAAATAAAAAAGGTGGATTGGTTACAGTTAAACTTATAGTTAGTAATAATATTGGCATGTATAAGATCACAAATGTATAACTATGAATATAATAATTAAATAAAAATCATGGCATTGAATGCCTGTTCACCTTAAAAAAAAAAAAAAAAAATGAATAAAATTAATATTTCAAGCTTTCAATAAAAAAAACCTGCAAATCACTTTTATAGTCATATATAATAAACCTAAATTGTGTCACTTTGCAATATATAACTTTCATAAATTACTGTATATATAGAGACCTTATACTATTGATAATTGAACTGGATTAAAAAGATTTATACTTTATATTTATCTCTAATATTTGAAAATGATTCAATAAAATTTAATAAATATACAACTCGAACCTGATTGCAAGTTAAAAAAAAAAATTAAATTTAAATTAAATAATAAAATTTTTACTATAAAAAAAAACTGTTTTAATAAAATATTCAAATATTTCACTATAAACAATAAAATATATTATAAAAAATTTTTTTCAGTCTTTTATAATTAATAAGTAAATTTTTATAATTTTAAAATTATCGAGTAAAAGGAATTGTATTTTTTATTAAATTTCATCTTATACTGGTTGACTTTTGCAATGACCATCACTGTATAACGTGTCTTGGAAAAACTAAATTCATAATATTAAAAGCTATTAAGTAATTAATAATTAATTAACACAACAGGAAAAAAATGATAACGTTGTTCCTCCAAAAGCAAAAATAATTTTTTATTGATTATATTGAAATACATTACGAAGAAATCTAATCAGCAGTTTCCAAGCTTTGGCGACGTTTTGAATTTTCCATAAATCCCAACGTAATTGATTTCAATTTCCTGTCCCATTTGCTTAGGTACAGGATATGGAGGAGGTTCACAATTATATTTTTTATAATACTCCGTTCGTTCTTCTACAGTCCAATCTCGTTTAATTGAATAGGGCTTTAGTTTTTTTTCTCCTTCCTCTTTGATAATTCTTTCGTTCATCTTTGACCACCGACTGGTTGGCGGCTCAAATTTAGGATAGGTGACAAGTGAAGGAGTCCATGTTTGTGCTGCATTTCTTTCGGCCTCTTCTAAACTTTTTGTTGCTTCTTCTTTCATGAGAATTTGTTCTTGTGCCAATTTAGCAAATTCCGCTTCTTCTTCTGCGACTTCCGTTAGAATTTCATCATCACCAGAGTCAGGGTCAATGAAATATTGTGCTTTTAACATTTTCTTGTAATAACCTTGTCCAAATTTGGATTCTTTCTTTCTCTTTTTCTTAACTGGTGAAGGCTCTTCATCAGTGGTTGTTAGAAACTCTTCATTATCAAAACTCTCTACACCATCATTCTCGGAATTTAACTTCCGCTTCTTTGCTTTTTTGTCCGTCTTTTTTTTCGTAAATTTTTCATTTGCGAGCTCTCTTACAAACTTCTCCCTCGATTGCTTTACCAGGATCTTACATTTTTCTTGCCACTCAAGGTAGGCTTCGCGCATCTTCTTATTATGTTTTTTTATATATTTGTGCCACCTGTTATATTTCCATTCTTCAATCAGTTTGCGTTGAAACCTCTTTTGTTCTAAATCAGCAACTTCATTCAGGTTTTTCCTGGTGAACTCTGAAGAAGTGGTAATAGATCTTGAAACAAATGATTCTGATGGATGTTGAGGAATTTCAGGTTTCTTTGAAAGAATTGTTTCGATATTTGATGCCGGATCCGGTAGTTCTATTTCACGACATATATTAAAGTATCTATCGGGCTTTTTACTTAAGACTAAACCTCCATTACTTGGTATTAATAATTCGAACTCTCGCATCTTATCCAAAATTGCTTGATGAGGTGCAGTGCTCTGAGAAATTTCACCATTGTCTTCATTATTTCTCGGTGCTATTTCGTAAACTCCGTAAGTAGCCGCCGTCTCTATGGTTTTTCTCTGAAATGACGAAAAAGTGGTTTCTTGAAGGGTTTTCTGAATTTTGGCTACTTTTGTTGGGACATTTATGGATCCGGGAGGAAGTCTAAAGGTCTTGCCCGAAAGATCAATCCTTGTAACTCGAGAGGGAACCTTTAATAACCAAATTTCGTTCTCACCGTTCTGGACGTCAACGATACCAAATTTCGAATCCTCATTTGAAGTTTGAATTTTTTTCCAACCTACTGGAGGTTTAAAAGAAGGCAAGGATGACGCGTCAGTTTCTTCGACATCAATATTGTGTTGTACTGCTTCGTTGACCGAGGGTGAGGATGTGTCATTTTCTTCATTGGTTGATGAATCCGATGAAGAGAATGAATTAGTATCGCCATCTGCCTTCATCTTTTATTGTGAGAATATTTTTTCGGTGAACTCTTATACATAATAAGTCACGTGAAAACATGTTTTTTTTTATTATTACAAGCATTAATGCAAGGTTTTTTTTATTATATAGTGAATCTTTTCTAAATACATATTTCCTGGAATTATAAGAAAATTTTTAAAAAATATACTTTATAGTGATAATTTTATTAAGAATTTTATATACTTGAAACTAAGCTTAACTGCATTTAAAAAAAGAAAACATAGTAAGTATATTAAAAAAAATAAAATATAAAACAAAAATAATTAAAAAAAAATCAAAATTTATATATATTTTTTATTTTATTTTTTTAAATAAAAAAATATTATTTATTTATTTATTTATATAAAATATGATATATATTTCAGAAAGAAACAACATCTCTTATATGTTTTTACAATGAGTTAAATGCTAGCTTGCCTATAGTAATTATCAAACTAATATTAGAAAAGATATTTTAAAATCAATATAGCTATTAAATAATAAAAATCCATATTTTTATTAAAAAACAATTAATTATTATATGATTTTTTTATTAATTAATAATAATTTATAAATTTTTTTATAATTAAAAATATAATTTTTTCAAATAATTTTTTATATAGTCAAATCTGAATATAACAAACCTGTTTATAATAAAGTTATAATAAAATGCTGACTATAATGAATTTTTAAATTTTGAATTTATTCAAAATTTATTATAAAAGAGGAATTTTATTATATAAATTGTTTAAAAATTCTTTATAATGAATTTTTAAACAATTTTTTTTAATTTTTATTAATTAGCCCAAAGTATACATGTGGTATAAATTATTTTGCTGTTGATTCAATTGCCAAAATTCTCAAAAATAATTGTGTCAATTGCATCAAGAATCTATTAATTTTTATTATATGTATAGCCCAAAGGTTTCATTATATCCAAGTTTGATTGTATTTTAATATTAATAAAAAAATATATATTTTTTTAATATATAATAATAATCAAAAATTTTAAATAAAAAATTGTTTATATATACTTGAAAATATAAATAATAAGTTTATTTAATAATTATTTATATAATATATTATTATTATTATTTTTTAAGGTAAAGGTACTAGATATATTGATTTCTATTGAGTTATTTATATTCAATTATACTACATTAAAGATTTATTTAAGTTAACCTATTTCTATCACCTATTTAATTTAGCTATACAAACTTATTACTATAGAAGTAGGACCTATATATCAAATAGAACAAATTCAAAAGTGAAAAGTCCTATTGCCAGTTTATATAATATATTATTAAAATTTTTTAATTTTAAAACTTTATAAAAAATCAATAATAAAAAATCAATAAAATTATTTTGTATTATAAAATTTGTAAAACAATATAAATAAATTTATAAAATATTGATTTTATGATTTTTTTTATAAAATTTATAATTTATAATTATAATTTTTTTTTTTTAATTAAAAAAACATTGTTTTTTATTTATTAATATACTCTATAATATACTGTATATTTTAAAAAAAAATAACATCTCTTATATATAACTTGTAATAAGTTAAATACTAACTTATCTATATATACTATATCTAATTAGTACAGAAAAAAAATTTTAAACAATATTATTGTTAAATATAGATTGAATAGTGACTATATTTTTTTATTCAGAAAAAAAGCTTTTATATTTAGAAAATTTAAAGAAAAAAATAAAAATAACTAAAACTAAAACTAAGTCAAATAAATTATAAAATCTATAAAAATAAAAATTATATTTTCAAAAGAATTCTTGACCAAACTTATTATTCTGACTTTTCAATTCTTTTCCATTTGTTAATATAGCTTTTGTTATTATAGATAATAATATATACTTGAAGTTATTTATTATTATAATTGTTATATTATTATTATTGTTGAATTGATAAATCAGTTTAAACTGATTATTGTTGTTGTTTTTGAACTGGTAAACTGGTTTAATCCAGTTTTGTTATTTTAATTTAAGTAATATAATGAATTTTGATTAAATAGTTGCCAGGTATTAATCAATTAAAGAAAATAAATTGATTTTGATTTTGAAATTAAAAAGATTATGGATTTTTTTTAAATGATGCAGTAAGTGATATCAAGATAGAAAAGTATATAAAGATTGTATTAAAACAAATATTAGACTTTATAACTTTGTTTAAATATATTTTTTAAAAAGTGTTTATGGATTTAATAAATATAATAATATTGATAAGAATGGTTTTTATGATAATAAAAGAATTTGGATTGCAAGAAAACCAAAGAATAAAAGTATATTGTCATGGATCTTTCCTTATATAATTAAAAGATAAATAAGACTTCCATATTTAAATAAACTTTAATTAAAGATTCCATCTCATTATATCAGTTATCTTTAGTATTATTGAATCCTTAAGCTAGAACTCACTTGTGATAAAAAATACAAAATATTTTTTTTAATCAAAATTATCATATATAAAAATTTTAAGCAAAACAAATATAATCAGAAAAGAATTTGTTTTTTTAATTAGAATTTATATATAAATTTATAAAAAAAATTTAAACTTGAAATTTTTGATTTAAAAATTAATTTTGTAATAAAATTTTTATAATATTAATAGTAAAAATTAGAATAAATTATTTTTTAACTAATAAAAAATATATATTTAAAATTTAATATTATTTAATAAAAATTTGTTTATTTATCCTTTAAACTGTATTGTAGGCAAATTTGCCTACAATTTTTTTATTAACAAAATTGTTTTATATTTTCTGATACATGTTACTCTTTAATCATATATTCATTTACTATGTATTTTAGCTCATTTAAATCTTCAAAACAAGATTAATCTTTTTTCTTAATAGTCAAAGTGCAAATAATATAATAATATTTTTCTCAAAAATGCATTACAAAAATAAGTGTCAAATTTGTCAAAAATTGGCCTACAGATTAAGGGATAATAAAAATAATTTTTCAAAATATATTGTATACTATTGTATTTATATATAAATTTTAATTAATATTTTTTATAAAATATTATATAATTATTATAATATCTTTTTTATAATATAATAAAAATATCTTATTACTATTAAAAATTTTTGTTAAATTTATTAAAAGTAGATAACTCAATTAAGTTAAAAAATTTTTATTAATATAAAAATTATATAAAAAGTATTTTAAATTTTTATTTATATTTAATTAATTTATATATTGAAATAATTTTAATAATTGATAATATTGTTTTTTTTTTTAATTTTAAATTATTATTTTTTTATATATTTTTATTTTTTATATTTTCAAATATATATATGTTTATTTTTATTAATAATATTGAATTTTTTTAAATTATATGATTTATTTGTATTATATTATTTTATTATTAATATTTATTTAAATTTAATTTTTTTTTTTAATTTTTAAACCTATTATTTATTATATAACTTGAATTGTATTATTAATATTATTATTTTATAATAATTTACAAATTAAGCTATAAAATTATAACTCAAATTTAACTTTAATTATAAAAATAAAACTTGAGCTCAATTTTTTCAAACTTTATATTAAGCTAATTTGAACCAGTTCAATTTTTTTTTTATTTTTTGCTAAGTGAGGCCTTCCTCATACTTTATTGATTAACACGTAATTAATGTAATACATTTTTTTTACAAAATC